CAACTCTGTGCTACCAGTGCCAGACATGGTCACTCACAACAAACCATAAAAGAAAATTAGTAACCATGGAAATGAGATGTCTGAGAAGGGCTGTAGAAGTGACCATAAGAGATAAGATCAGGAATGAGATCATAAGAGAAAAAGTCGGCACAGAACCAATTCTAAATTACATACAAAGACAGCAAGTGAAATGGTTTGCCCACTTAGAGAGAATGCCTTGTGACACCATACCATACAAATCATACATGGAAGGAGAAGAAGGACGTGAAGCAAGAGGTAGACCAAGAACAATATGAAAGGATAACATCAGAGAAACTCTACAACAGCACGATGTGCCTATGGTCGATGCGGCCAGAAGAGCTAGAAACAGAACCTTATATCTCCCTCGACACCCACAGCGGTAAAAGAGGAAGTGAAGAAGAAGAAAAAGACACTATCTCATCATCGTCCCGTAACACTGCGTGTCGTCGGGTCACCAGTTGCTGCTGAGTGTCTGGTCAGCTAACTCCACACTGTGATGGTCAGATGCGATGGACATCATGACTGCATGCCTGAGGCCCGTCAAGTCTGTCATGTAGTGTAATAAGATCTATCTGGGTCTGCCTCATCTCCTCTTCTCCTCAACTGAGTCCTGTTAGAGTTGTTGTAGGGAGACCGTTAGATCTGACTTCATGCCTGCTCCAACATAGTTTAGAGACGATCATAGTTGCCAGTTTGTCGACTAATAATTTGGCGAACTTCGTCATAAAGTGGTCTCAGAAAGATCTCTTTTTCTATGCGTGTATTTTGTTTTCGAGTTCAACTGTTCAGATCCACATTTCACAGCCAGATGTAAATGTACTAATTATTAGTGCTCTCAGCTTAGTTGTACATTAAATGTTTGTCTCCAAAAATATTTGCTCTTTGGCAAGGGTTGATATTGTCTGGGTAATCCTAGACGTGATTTCTCGTCTTGACCCTAGGTCACTTTTAATGGATCTGTCGAGCAGTGAACAGCCAACCCTACACCGTGGACTAGTCGTGACGTTGACACCCCTAGCGGGCACGTCACATTTCTATACCCTCTAGTTGTTTTGAGAAGTCTACATTTTCAAACTTGCAACTGTGGGATAGATAATTTCTTGAAATTATTCAGAAATTCTTGTAAGCCTTTTTACTCCTTGGTCACGAATACAGGACTTATTTTCTAGAGACGCCAAGCGGAATCTGGGGCGGGTTTCTTTGCCAGACCTCTTAGGTGTCTAGAGACAATTCAGTTCTCTCATTAAACTTGGGCGCTTTCAAAATACCAGCTTAATCTTTGAAGGATTCCTCGGCCATGGATGATACCTTCTTAGAGGTCAGGCAAACGTGTCACAGTCCAGCCAACAATCACCAACCCATATTATCCCTATCACCAAACCTACCCACAATCCTACCTATTGTTGAAAAGTTCAACATGGCAGGAGCTTGTGTGTGAGTTCCAGTGGCTGAGAGACAGTATTGCAGGCCACCTGTGTCATCAATCCAAGGAAGCCTTCTTCAGGAGTTTTGTTGGGTCCCAGTGCAGTTCCTTTGTCCTCATATGTGAGACGATCAGTGTTTACAAGATCAACCCGAGGAAAAGCGATCTATTGAGTCAACCGGTTCAAATCACCATGGACTGAGTGGAGCATTGAGCTACCAGATTGGATAAGTAACATCTGAGATGACATACATGCTCTATTTACATGGCTACCTATGATTCACTGTGATGATTCATGTACTCCATGAACTTTGTCTGGCTGTTTCAATATCATCGCTGTAACGTTAAGTCATGAACTCCATTCACTGGAAACCATCTTGATTGTCTTGATAATGTATGGGGGTTATGCCAGACACTGTTACCTAAGAGAGCTTAACACATTATTTTCAAGTTCTCATTTCTTAGCTATTTCTTTTTTAATAATACAATAATACTCTAATACCAGGGAGAATTTGTCAATCCTTCGGAGAGGGAGATATGACTGTGTGGAGGGGAGAGGGAGATATGACTGGGTGGAGGTGAGAGGGAGATATGACTGGGTGGAGGGGAGAGGGAGATATGACTGGGTGGAGGGGAGAGGGAGATATGACTGTGTGGAGGGGGGGAGGGGGTTGAGGGTTATGACAGACACTGTTAGCTGAGAGCTACTTTCTTTCTTTTTCCATTTCACCATTTGCGGCCACAGCAACGCGTGGCAGGGCACAGCTAGTAATCTATAAAGCACAAAAAAATTCCTTTTGTATATCCATTTATCTTTCTTTCAGTGTTCGTAATATGTAAATTGCATTATTTGTTCCTTTACTTTCCATAAATCCATACTGCTCTTCACTAAATTCCATTCTTACAACTATACTACTGAAGACTCAAGAGTTTGGTTCAGATATCGCAGCCTAGCTTTAAACCACAACACAACGTGCCAACCGCCCTCTCAAGGGCGAATGAAAAGAAAGATTACTCGTGACGTGACCATTGAGCATCTGGTCGCCGCTATCACAGGCTAGCTGCAAACCACAAATTCGAGCGGGAAAAAATAAGGCTCAGATATGGCAGGCTAGCTGTAAATCACAACACAGTCTGCCAGCCACCCTGTTAAGGGCTAAAAAAAATTTATATCAATTCGAGGGGATCGAAAGCCGGTTACCCGCATGTAAGGCGAAATACTTACAACTACGTTACCAAAGACTCGAGATTTGGGTAGAAACGAAATTATATAATAATTCGAAGTTCAGTGTTACACACACGGTCAAAGGTCGGCGAAACTAAAAATGCGGGCCGGCAGGGGAAAAAAATTATTTAATCGTTGCTGGAGCTACGTAGTTCGTGGTTTGTGCGACACTTGTACATACAAACACGCATGGAGTCGAAGGCAACGTTGTATGACAATTTGAAAGCAATTAGTTCAGTAGTTTCCGAGTCTATAGGTAACAAAAACGGAAAATTGATATTTTATAAATTTTAATAGCATCGCTAACTTGTTCCTTTAGTAGACGGACATTCTCACTTTCTTTCTTGTGGTATTTCTGCTCTGTTCCATCATGTAACTCTCTTATGTATTCATTCCATCTAGTTATGTTATCATCTTCCTCCATTAAGATCTCTCCTGCTTCTGATTTCAGACTTTGTGTTTTTGCTCGTATTTTTCTACAAGTTAGATGGTTAATTTGTTTATGCACACTTTGTGCATCTTCAACAAAACTGTGTGAAATTTTGTTGCATTGTTCATTTAGCCACTCTTCTTTTTGCCTTCTTACAAGTATGCCTTATTTCTTTATTTATCTCGTCATATTCTTTTTTGTCATTCATACACTGCTTTCTGACACCAATTAACTTTAAAATTACTTCGTTCATCAATTTCTGTTTAGCTATTTGTCTTCTTTCTGGTAAAATCTTGCTTGTTTATGAGGACTCTTTCAGCATTTCCCACTGATCGTTTATCGTTTGTATCCTTAGACTTCCATTAACGTTATTCGTGTCGTTCGGTCTGTGTTTTCTAGTTTTTTCTTGAGAAAATAATGCGGTGGTTTCCCGTTGCCTTCCACACCCACATGGGGTGTTTTAACCTGCACATTAACAGTAATTTCCAAATGTCAGAACAAGTGGATGCCCTTCTCTGCCCAGCTGCGGAGTGATCCACTTATTCCAGTGGATACTCGGTCCCCATATCTGGGTTAGCCACACCGTGGTGTGTTTCCCACCTTCCACCACTTGGAGGTGCAGTTGGGGATTTTCCCTTTCATCAAATCTGAGACCAGGATGGTATTTCTCAAACTGTCTAGGTACTTTCTGGATGTTATTGTATGTATTAACCCAAAAGTGTTAAACTGTCTTAGCCCATCTGGTTGTTGTATGTATTAACCCAATAGTGTTAAACTGTCTTAGCCCATCTGGTTGTTGTATGTATTAACCCAATAGTGGTGTTAAACTGTCTTAGCCCATCTGGTTGTTGTATGTATTAACCCAATAGTGGTGTTAAACTGTCTTAGCCCATCTGGTTGTTGTATGTATTAACCAAATAGTGGTGTTAAACTGTCTAAGCCTATCTGGTTGTTGTATGTATTAACCCAAAAGTGTTAAACTGTCTAAGCCCATCTGGTTGTTGTATGTATTAACCCAATAGTGTTAAACTGTCTAAGCCCATCTGGTTGTTGTATGTATTAACCCAATAGTGTTAAACTGTCTAAGCCTATCTGGTTGTTGTATGTATTAACCCAATAGTGTTAAACTGTCTAAGCCCATCTGGTTGTTGTATGTATTAACCCAATAGTGTTTAACTGTCTAAGCCCATCTGGTTGTTGTATGTATTAACCCAATAGTGGTGTTAAACTGTCTAAGCCTATCTGGTTGTTGTATGTATTAACCAAATAGTGGTGTTAAACTGTCTTAGCCCATCTGGTTGTTGTATGTATTAACCCAATAGTGGTGTTAAACTGTCTTAGCCCATCTGGTTGTTGTATGTATTAACCCAATAGTGTTAAACTGTCTAAGCCTATCTGGTTGTTGTATGTATTAACCCAATAGTGGTGTTAAACTGTCTAAGCCTATCTGGTTGTTGTATGTATTAACCCAATAGTGTTAAACTGTCTTAGCCCATCTGGTTGTTGTAAGTATTAACCCAATAGTGTTAAACTGTCTTAGCCCGTCTGGTTGTTGTATGTATTAACCCAATAGTGTTAAACTGTCTAAGCCTATCTGGTTGTTGTATGTATTAACCCAAAAGTGTTAAACTGTCTTAGCCCATCTGGTTGTTGTATGTATTAACCCAATAGTGTTTAACTGTCTTAGCCCATCTGGTTGTTGTATGTTTTAATCCAGTGATGTCCATTCTTGATCTATCTATCCATCCATCCATCAATCCATCAATGCATCTATCTATTCATCCTTGCATCTATCCATCCATCCATCCATCCATCCATCCATCCATCCATCCATCCATCCATCCATCCATAAAAACAACACTTTAACACAAAAAGAAGCGGTAGCAACAGTGGATTATATTTTATCCCACATCAACCAGGTGAGTCTCCCTGTAAGAACAGACACAAGCCTTGGGAAGCATCTCGTAGGCGGACTTGTATTTGTAGACCCCGTCCTCGCAGACTCGTCGTATCACATGGATGGCCTGGTACAGCGGTCGACATTCGTGCTGGATACCGTTGTTGAGGGAACATTTCCCGCACAAACACCGGGCAAAGATCATCTGATGGGGGAATCTGAAAGGAAGTACACCATCTTCAAGAGTCGAGTAGAGTTGAGTCGCGATTGACATTACAGCACTCGGGGCATTTTCAAGCATGCTCTGTCCTCATCTTCAGCAGCCAGCGCAGAGTTCCAATACTGATCGTACCGGTCACAATCTGGTTAAAATTCCGACTTGACCACATCTGCTCTGCATACATACATACATACATGCATACACATACATACATACATACACACACACACACACACACACACACACACACACACACACACACACATACATACATACATACATACATACATACATACATACATACATACATACATACATACATACATACATACATACATACATACATACATACATACATACATACATACATACATACATACATACATACATACATACATACATACATACATACATACATACATACATACATACATACATACATACATACATACATACATACATACATACATACATACACACACACACACACACACACACACACACACACACACACACACACACACCACACACACACACACACACACACACACACACACACACACACACACACACACACACACACACACACACACACACACACACACACACACACACACACACACACACACACACACACACACACACACACACACACACACACACACACACACACACACACACACACACACACACACACACACACACACACACACACACCACACACACACACACACACACACACACACACACACACACACACACATACATACATACATACATACATACATACATACATACATACATACATACATACATACATACATACATACATACATACATACATACATACATACATACAGACATACATACATACATACATACATACATACATACATACATACATACATACATACATACATACATACCATACATACATACATACATACATACATACATACATACATACATACATACATACATACATACATACATACATACATACATACATACATACATACATACATACATACATACATACATACATACATACATACATACATACATACATACATACATACATACATACATACATACATACATACATACATACATACATACATACATACATACATACATACATACATACATACATACATACATACATACATACATACATACATACATACATACATACATACATACATACATACATACATACATACATACATACATACATACATACATACATACATACATACATACATACATACATACATACATACATACATACATACATACATACATACATACATACATACATACATACATACATACATACATACATACATACATACATACATACATACATACATACATACATACATACATACATACATACATACATACATACATACATACATACATACATACATACATACATACATACATACAGGTCAGGCTGCATGCCTGTCTTTTTTGCAATGACACAGTCATGGTCAATATTTTGAAGTCATGTAAGACAGAAAATCACGAGCCACAACTGTCGGTGCTCTCACCTGTTGAAATTATAATCATTGTGGTAAGTCCAGGGACACAGCGATTTGTTGTGGAGCCCGCTGAAAAAACGGTTGTTGAGGCTTGCACAATTGGTCGTAAAGTTGTGACCAAACCTGCTATCGTCTGATAAAAAACAAGGCAACTTTCTAGTTTGTAGAGAATGAATGAATCAATCGATCAATCAGTCATACAATATAAAATATCATCACTGCCCTTGGGACATTCCCACACGTGCGCCGTCCCCTACTTAATTAGCCAGCGAAGAGTCAACACGCCGTAGTCTGTTTCAGAAGTTCTGCAGAACATTAAAAATCTAAAACTCAGGAACTGTTTGGCCTCAGTTGTGAAATCTTGCAAACAGAGGTTGTGAAATCTGGCAAGCAGAGGTTGTGAAATCTGGCAAGCAGAAGTTGTGAAATCTGGCAAGCAGAAGTTGGGAAATCTGTCAAGTAGAAGTTGGGAAATCTGGCAAACAGAGGTTGTGAAATCTGGCAAGCAGAGGTTGTGAAATCTGGCAAGCAGAGGTTGTGAAATCTGGCAAGCAGAAGTTGGGAAATCTGGCAAGCAGAAGTTGGGAAATCTGGCAAGCAGAGGTTGGGAAATCTGACAAGCAGAGGTTGGGAAATCTGGCAAGTAGAAGTTGGGAAATCTGGCAAGCAGAAGTTGTGAAATCTGGCAAGCAGAAGTTGGGAAATCTGGCAAGCAGCCTGCCTATGTAAGGCTTTTTTTTTTTTAATGACCTTCTTCCCTTGTGGGATGCAATTTTTTGTTGTTTGAAGCCCCGTTCTGGCTTCTGCCGAAGACCCTGAATATAACTGGGCCATTAATATGGCCTAACGGCTGAAAGGGGTTTCTGGGACCTCTCCATTGGTGATCCTCATACGCATAGTGGCACTTTGTGTCACCGGGTGTTTATCGCTTGTGTAATGTCCTGGTGGGGTACAGCTACCTACCTACCTAACCTTTAAAAAGGTACCTAACATTTCTGGTTTAATGGCAACCCTAAAAATAAATTACAAATGGGAAGAATGTAAGCTGTTAACTGACTCATCCAAGAGTTTCGCTAAATACAGTTGCTACCATAAATTCCAATTGGTCACTCAGTTGATATAAAAGATACTTATAAAAACATTAGGCAGCTTTTGAAGTGTATAAACTCCGATCATTACTGGTCACTTTGTGGTTACTTGAAAGTGGTCACTCTTTTGCTTGGACCAAAGAGTGGATATGGCAAATGCTGTTGCTTTCCTTGTGAGTGTGACAGCCTGCACGAAGTGATCGTTACATCAGAAGACACTGACCAAACAGGCGATCATTGCAGCCTGGCATTAAAAATGTTGAGAAGCCAGGACCTGTCGAAACCAGCAAGAATGTGTTGCCACCTTTGCACATTGAGCTTGGTCTCATTAAAAAAAAACTCTGTCATGAAAATATCTTTAATAGTTAACGACACTTGGTTTTCTTCGGACATATATCTTTTTATTTATTATGAGATTATTTTATCCTTAGATAGATATTTATAGATTGTGTCAGTACTTTACATATAGACATGCATTCAAAGAGTAGGACGTTACTAGACATCTGTTTGTAGATTGTTCTAGTGATATACCGTTGGAGATACGTTTATGTAAGACAACATTAGCCCAAAGATATACTTACCAACAGATTTACATTTACTCCAAACACCGCTTATCCACACGTATTCATTAGAAAACAAAAACTCATCTACAAACACACACATCCCCCATCCACCAACTCCATTATCCAGAATAATGCATTCACACAAATGCACGGTTTCACCCGCAAATCCACACTCATTTAAAGACTCAGTTTATCCAGAAAAACACCCACTTATTCAACTGTCCAGATATATCCAAACACACGGATTCACCCACAACTCATTAAAAGAAGAGCATTCACCCAGAATGACACATACTCGTTCAGATACCCAGACTCATCTAAATACACAGACCGATCCACAACTGAATAAACTCATTCACAAATACATATATATATTTACAAATAAACAGAGTTTTAAAAAAGACACAGGCGTATTCTGAAAGGAACAGGCTCGTCCATAAAGAGTCAATCAAAGAGTCATCCAAGAACTCAATAAAAGAGATATACAAGGACTCAGTCAAAGATCAAGACCCATCCAAAAACACACACTCATCCACACAGAAAACACAGACTCACCCACAAAGACACACACTCATCCACACAGAAAACACAGACTCACCCACAAAGACACACACTCATCCACACAGAAAACACAGACTCATCCACAAAGACACACACTCATCCACACAGAAAACACACTCACCCACAAAGACACACACTCATCCACACAGAAAACACAGACTCACCCACAAAGACACACACTCATCCACACAGAAAACACAGACTCACCCACAAAGACACACACTCATCCACACAGAAAACACAGACTCACCCACAAAGACACACACTCATCCACACAGAAAACACAGACTCACCCACAAAGACACACACTCATCCACACAGAAAACACAGACTCACCCACAAAGACACACACTCATCCACACAGAAAACACAGACTCACCCACTGGGACACACACTCATCCACACAGAAAACACAGACTCACCCACAAAGACACACACTCATCCACACAGAAAACACAGACTCACCCACAAAAACACACACTCATCCACACAGAAAACATAGACTCATCCACTAAGACACACACTCATCCACACAGAAAACACAGACTCACCCACAAAGACACACACTCATCCACACAGAAAACACAGACTCGCCCACAAAGACACACACTCATTTACACAGAAAACACAGACTCATCCACAAAGACACACACTCATCCACACATAAAACACAGACTCACCCACAAAGACACACACTCATCCACACAGAAAACACAGACTCACCCACAAAGACACACACTCATCCACACAGAAAACACAGACTCAATCACAAAAACACACTCATCCACACAGAAAACACAGACTCACCCACAAAGACACACACTCATCCACACAGAAAACACTGACTCATCCACAACGACACACACTCATCCACACAGAAACACAGACTCATCCACAAAGACGCACACTCATCCACATAGAAAACACAGATTTATCCACAAAGACACACACTCATCCACACAGAAAAAAAAGACTCATCCACAAAGACACACACTCATCAACACAGAAAACACAGACTCATCCACAAAGACACACACTCATCCACACAGAAAACTCAGACTCACCCACAAAGACACACACTCATCCATACAGAAAACACAGACTCGTCCACAAAGACACACACTCATCCACACAGAAAACACAGACTCGCCTACAAAGACACACACTCATCCACACAGAAAACACAGACTCACCCACAAAGACACAAACTCATCCACACAGAAAACACAGACTCACCCACTAGGACACACACTCATCCACACAGAAAACACAGACTCACCCACAAAGACACACACTCATCCACACAGAAAACACAGACTCACCCACAAAGACACACACTCATCCACACAGAAAACACAGACTCACCCACAAAGACACACACTCATCCACAAAGAAAACACAGACTTACCCACAAAGACACACACTCATCCACACAGAAAACACAGACTCACCCACAAAGACACACACTCATCCACACAGAAAACACAAACTCATCCACAAAGACACACACTCATCCACACAGAAAACACAGACTCATCCACAAAGACACACACTCATCCACACAGAAAACACAGACTCACCCACAAAGACACACACTCATCCACACAGAAAACACAGACTCACCCACAAAGACACCCACTCATCCACACAGAAAACACAGACTCACCCACAAAGACACACACTCATCCACACAGAAAACACAGACTCACCCACAAAGACACACACTCATCCACACAGAAAACACAGACTCACCCACTAGGACACACACTCATCCACACAGAAAACACAGACTCACCCACAAAGACACACACTCATCCACACAGAAAACACAGACTCACCCACAAAGACACACACTTATCCACATAGAAAACACAACAGACTCACCCACAAAGACACACACTCATCCACACAGAAAACACAGACTCACCCACAAAGACACACACTCATCCACACAGAAAACACAGACTCGCCCACAAAGACACACACTCATCCACACAGAAAACACAGACTCACCCACAAAGACACACACTCATCCACACAGAAAACACAGACTCACCCACTAGGACACACACTCATCCACACAGAAAACACAGAATCACCCACAAAGACACACACTCATCCACACAGAAAACACAGACTCACCCACAAAGACACACACTGATCCACACAGAAAACACAGACTCACCCACAAAGACACCCACTCATCCACACAGAAAACACAGACTCACCCACAAAGACACACACTCATCAACACAGAAAAGACAGACTCACCCACAAAGACACACACTCATCCACACAGAAAACACAGACTCACCCACAAAAACACACACTCATCCACGCAGAAAACACAGACTCACCCACAAAGAAACACACTCTTCCACACAGAAAACACAGACTCACCCACAAAGACACACACTCACCCACACAGAAAACACAGACTCACCCACAAAGACACACACTTATCCACACAGAAAACACACTCACCCACAAAGACACACACTCATCCACACAGAACACACAGTCTCACCCAAAAAGACACACACTCATCGACACAGAAAACACAGACTCACTCACAAAGACACCCACTCATCCACACAGAAAACACAGACTCACCCACAAAGACACACACTCATCCACACAGAAAACACAGACTCACCCACAAAGACAAACACTTATCCACACAGAAAACACAGACTCACCCACAAAGACACACACTCATCCACACAGAAAACACAGACTCCCCCACAAAGACACACACACTCATCCACACAGATAACACAGACTCACCCACAAAGACACACACTCATCCACACAGAAAACACAGACTCATCCACAAAGACACACACTCATCGACACAGAAAACACTGACTTACCCAATAAGACACACACTCATCGACACAGAAAACAGAGACTCGCCCACAAAGACACACACTCATCGACACAGAAAACACAGACTCATCCACAAAGACACAGACTCATCCACAAAGACACAGATTTAGCCAAAGGCGCAGATATACTTAATGACCTAGAATCACCCAAAGATACTGGCTCATCCACAAATACGCATACACATTCAGTGACGCTCATCCATAACCACATACATATTTAATGACGCGTATCCACAACCATATACATATTTGGTGACGCTTATCCACAACCACATACATATTTGATGACGCTTATCCACAACCATATACATATTTGATGACGCTTATCCACAACCACATACATATTTGATGACGCTTATCCACAACCACATACATATTTGATGACGCTTATCCACAACCACATACATATTTGATGACGCTTATCCAAATACACATATACATTCAATAACATTCGAATACGCTTATCCATTTACCCTCTAAATATTAAATGACGCTTATCCAAAGCTACATATGCATTCAATGGCGCTTATTCAGATACTCATACACATGCCATGGGGCTTATCCAAACACATATACATATTCAATGACGCTTATCCAAACACATATACATATTCAATGACGCTTATCCAAACACATATACATATTCAATAACGCTTATCCAAACACACATACATATTCAATGGCGCTTATGCAAACACACATACATATTCAATGACGCTTATCCAAACACACATACATGTTCAATGACGCTTATCCAAACACACATACATGTTCAATGACGCTTATCCAAACACACATACATATTCAATGACGCTTATCCAAACACACATACATGTTCAATTACGCTTCCAAACACACATACATGTTCAATGACGCTTATGCAAACACACATACATATTCAATGACGCTTATCCAAACACACATACATATTCAATGACGCTTATCCAAAGCCACAGACACACCCAGTGACGCTCACCTAAAGACACATGTTGGTCCAAAACCTCTCATTCATTTTCAGACACTCACCTGGCCTGGGGATCACGTTTGCAGACAGATTGCTGAGTTGTTCAACACACGAGAGGACACTGCTGGGCGCTTCTTGACACATGTAATTGTTGGGTTGTGGAAGCACCACCGTCACCCAGATGACCATTACTATCCCTAGCTCCATCAGTAGCGGAATCTGTGTTCAGACATTATGACTTGACAATGACGCTGAATCTATACTTGATGGCAGTCAAAGGACACTTGCCCACGACTTCATAGATAGTATGCATACAGAGCTAGAGCTCGGTGGGTAATGTGGTCTGCATCACACTGATCGCCTTTACGTCCCAGGACTTTAACTGGCAAAAATTTTAGGCTGGGTTGGCTGGGAAGCTATGGTAATTTTTTAAAGAAAAAAAATAAAATTCAGCACAATTCAGATTTGAACCCAAGACCATTGGATCCACAGTCAGACTACACCATGGCGGCTAGTCATGCAGAATCTATAAGTTTTGAAAGATGCAAAGACCCGAAGGCAGCTGATCACATATACATCAGAGGCAGATTTCCCTTCAGGCCGCGTTGTAATGAAAAGAAAATGGATTTTTGAGTTGAAATTCTATAATAAAATATTCTCAAAATTCATTGAACCTCAAAAAACAAAAACAAAAACAAAATTTAAAATACTGACATCTGAAAATTTCTGAATAGCACAGAAGATTGGCTAGTCAACGCCATAGAGTCTTCGAAACTGAAATATTATAACCATATCAAGCATTACGGCGGATTACAAAACATAACAGCATACGGCATGATACCAGGATAGAGGGGCAGAGGCCGACCAGCAGGAAGATGGGCACTCGATATAAGGACACCTTGGGTAGGAAAACTCACGATGGAGGGAGAGCTGCCGGGGGAACCAAGGGTTGTTTTTTTCTCTCCCAGGCAGACCAAGATAAGAGCGACGTTCAGCAGATTACTAGCTAAACGAAGATCATTTGAGAAATGACTTCGCCATTTATGTGATAGTATTCTCACACTAGTTGAGTATCTCCTGCTCTTCTCCAGGGTGGGTTTTCTGAGAGAGCATTGTGTTGTTTAGAGTAGCAGAAATAGTTTACTTCGAATTTACTTTTTTTAGCAAGTTTTTTTTTTCATTTCCAGTATTTTCGAAATCTCTACATTTGATTGTTTTCTGTTTCCACGAAAATATGTTGAATGTTGAATTAGGAATCGACATAACAGCACTCGGGACACTCCCATAAGCGCTCCGCCCCGATCTTCAGCAGCAAGCCAAGAGTTCCAATTCCGATGGTATCCGTAGCTGTCTGTATATCCGTCCTGCCCTTCCCTCGAGTGTTGAACTTTGATCAGATCCCCTGGTAATTCCCTGCAGCGCCTTTCTCCTCAGACCATAATGTATCTATCTGTGCCTCCACACTGTTCACTCGCTCCCAAACAGCCCTCATAACAACCAGCTGGTCATACATCAGTTCACCACCAAGAGGTGCAGAATCGGTCAATCTGTCTGTTACGAAAAACCACCTATAAAATCACTGCAGAATAAACAGTTAGCTGTTGCACGAATCCTGTTACCAGAATATGCGGGAGTTGTGGGCAATGAAGAGAGAAATAGATTGGCAGATGAGGTCACTAGATCAGAAGATCAACCATCAGATGGAAGATACATTTTGGAGGTCCAGTGAGAACCGGTATGAAATAAGTACGTCAAACTGAATAAACGACGGCGATTGTCAGGATGGGAAATTGAATTCAGAGAACAACAACATGCCAAGCTGGCATACTTGAAATAAATACTGATTGATACAGTTAGTTGTTGTGAGCTGATGGTTTTTTTTTTGTTTTTTTTTCAATGATAAATTCTCTCTCTCTCTCTCTCTTTCTCTCTCTCTCTCTCTCTCTCTCTCTCTCTCTCTCTCTCTCTCTCTCTCTCTCTCTCTCTCTCTCTCTCTCTCTCCTATCTCTCTCTCCCCTCTCCCCTCCCCTCTCTCTCCTAACTCTCTCTCCCCTTTTCCCTCTCTCTCTTTCTCTCTCTCATTTTCTATCATTCTCTCACTTATATGTATAAAGTCGACTCTGTGGCTAAGTCGATGCGAACGCTTCGTAATGCTGGGGTGCCGGGTTCGATCCCAGCTGCGGGTCATGCGCTTTGCGTTGGTTTCGACAGTTGTATCAAGAAAGCCGACCGTCCAGGAAGCAATGGCAAACTACTGAACGTAAATTTGCCTAGAGAAACCACACAACAGCCAGGGGCTGCTGGGGTTGGTTCTGCAACTTCCTGTAAAGGATACGCAACTAGCCAATATATATATATATATATATATATATATATATATATATATATATATATATATATATATATATATATATATATATATATTTATTTTTATAGACCAATAGACCAATCGGCACAAGGTAGATGATGGGGTCTGCATCACGCCGGCCGCCTTTACTTCCCGTGTATGCTCCATATATTTGAGCGCTCCTACACCACCACCCAACCCCGCCCCCTCATTTTCGACCTACCAGCAAGAAAATATGTGAGGGAAGGGGTTGGGGGAGGCCAAACCCCGGTGCCCATGAGCGTTTGTTTGCAGACGTTGATTTCTCCTTGATGACCCCAGGTACATCCTTGATGACCCCAGGTACATCCTTGATGACCCCAGGTACATCCTTGATGACCCCAGGTACATCCTTGATGACCCCAGGTACATCCTTGATGACCCCAGGTACATCCTTGATGACCCCAGGTACATCCTTGATGACCCCAGGTACATCCTTGAGGAATGAAATTGTCGGATGCTCTAAGCTACGAAATATCAGGTCCTACGTCTCTCAGGGAGGGTGGGGGGGGGGGTGTTGAACCCTGCACCACACTGATGTTTTCGCGAAGATACTATAGGGGGTCAAATGAAAATCTCAAAGAAAACGGGTAAGAGAAAGCTTCTCTTTCGTACATTTCAAAAGTGGTTGGGCCCTCTTTCAACTGTTATATGACGTCACATAATTCGTCTGCGCCGCTATATCCTTGCCTAACACTCTTGACATCCTTAACGACAGTATTGACAAGTTACAGGACAGTTTCAATGTTACTGTAATCTTTCTCATGCTTTCAATGTTTTCATTTGAAGCTTGCTTGTATTTAAAAAAACATACAAGATTATGTCGAACCTGATAAATTAATCTGCTTAAGACACTTGACAACATAGTTGATCGTTTGCTGGATACTGTCAATTCAGGCCACTCTAGCCAACCAGCCAGTTTGTTGCCACCGCTCTCTGCCTCCGACCTGTTCAGCCAATCTTCTTTCTGCAATCACGAACTGGGGAAATTAAGATCACATAAATACTGTAGTCTTTTCATGATAGCACACAAAGGACATTTAATGTACTATACTATACCAAACTGTTTATACTATACTTTAAATAATCATACTATACTAAACCAAACTATATTTACTGTATTAAACAACGTTATACTATATTATACTATTCTGTTCTGTACAATACTAGACTATAGCACACTGGCAGACACGCTACTCTAGGCCTGGTCTGTACAATACTAGACTATACCACACTGGCATACCCGCTACTCTAGGCCTGGTCTGTACAATACTAGACTATAACACACTGGCATACCCGCTACTCTAGGCCTGGTCTGTACAATACTAGACTATAGCACACTGGCATACCCGCTACTCTAGGCCTGGTCTGTACAATACTAGACTATAGCACACTGGCATACCCGCTACTCTAGGCCTGGTCTGTACAATACTAGACTATAGCACACTAGCATACCCGCTACTGTAGGCCTGGTCTGTATAATACTAGACTATACCACACTGGCAGACACGCTACTGTAGGCCTGGTCTGTACAATACTAGACTATAGCACACTGGCATACACGCTACTGTAGGCCTGGTCTGTACAATACTAGACTATACCACACTGGCATACACGCTACTCTAGGCCTGGTCTGTACAATACTAGACTATAGCACACTGGCATACACGCTACTCTAGGCCTGGTCTGTACAATACTAGACTATACCACACTGGCATACCCGCTACTGTAGTCCTGGTCTGTACAATACTATACTATAGCACACTGACATACACGCTACTGTAGGCCTGGTCTGTACAATACTAGACTATACCACACTGGCAGACACGCTACTGTAGGCCTGGTCTGTACAATACTAGACTATACCACACTGACATACACGCTACTGTAGTCCTGGTCTGTACAATACTAGACTATACCACACTGGCAGACACGCTACTGTAGGCCTGGTCTGTACAATACTAGACTATAGCACACTGACATACACGCTACTGTAGGCCTGGTCTGTACAATACTAGACTATACCACACTGGCAGACACGCTACTGTAGGCCTGGTCTGTACAATACTAGACTATAGCACACTGACATACACGCTACTGTAGGCCTGGTCTGTACAATACTAGACTATACCACACTGGCAGACACGCTACTGTAGGCCTGGTCTGTACAATACTAGACTATACCACACTGGCATACACGCTACTGTAGGCCTGGTCTGTACAATACTAGACTATACCACACTGACATACACGCTACTCTAGGCCTGGTCTGTACAATACTAGACTATACCACACTGGCATACACGTACTGTAGGCCTGGTCTGTACAATACTAGACTATAGCACACTGGCATATACGCTACTGTAGGCCTGGTCTGTACAATACTAGACTATACCACACTGGCACACGCTACTTTAGGCCTGGTCTGTACAATACTAGACTATAGCACACTGGCATACACGCTACTGTACCTGGTCTGTACAATGCTAGACGATCCCACACTGGCATACACGCTACTGTAGGCCTGGTCTGTACAATACTAGACTATACCACACTGGCATACACGCTACTGTAGGCCTGGTCTGTACAATACTACTAGACTATACCACACTGGCATACACGCTACTGTAGGCCTGGTCTGTACAATACTAGACTATAGCACACTGGCATACACGCTACTGTAGTCCTGGTCTGTACAATACTAGACTATAGCACACTGGCATACACGCTACTGTAGTCCTGGTCTGTACAATACTAGACTATACCACACTGGCAGACACGCTACTGTAGGCCTGGTCTGTACAATACTAGACTATACCACACTGGCAGACAC